ACATATGTTCTGACTTGGAAAGAATCGGTCTATAAAGATTTAATAGATTTGAGATTTGCATATTCCAAATACATGTCATGGTAAAAATGAAATGAAAACTATTTTAATATCTACATCTGTATTATACATAAACGTGGTTCAGGCATATCAGCAAATTTTTAAAAGGCAATTACATGTGTTATATTTGCTAGTTCTGAGATTATGAAAGTGGGCTATTTTAAAAATTAACCATTTTATATTTTCACTGAAGAAAAATATTGTAGGAGACATTATATTGGTGATAACAAAGGATAGGAACCCTTCAAGTTTCAGGGATTTGAAGTTGTTGTATGTTCTTGTCTCCTTTCATAGACATAACTTGTAGTGTTGTGTGTCAGCAACCACTTTCTTTATTAAAAATGAGTTAACACCATTCTTGGGTAGACGAAATTGAAAGTCACAAATAATTAAAGACAAATGTAAAAGATTAATATTTACATGAGGTTCTTTTCCTTATATGACTGAAAGAAGTGACTCCCTCCCGCAAAGAGAGATTCTTGGAAAGGGACCTGAAAAGTCAAAAGCTTGTATGGTGACTAAAACAGAGTTTTCTCTTCATAGAATTCTCTGGCCTCTATTCCTGTAAATTTATATGTAATCTCACATAAATTCATCTTTTAATTTTGAATTCCAGTGGAAACTTTGAGAGAAAGATGGCATTCCAAGTCAGTCAGTTTGATATATATTACACCTACAATTAGACACTCATTGCATTGAAATTAAGCCCAATGGACTTCAGCTAATATTCTCTTTCATGTGACAAAGAAAAATCTTACCATGTCACTTAAGATCTTTCTTTTTCCCTGTCCCCACTTAAAACATCTTCCACCTCCATGACACTGAATGCTTTTGTATGGCATGTCCTTCCTTTTCTGGTTAGTTTTGCAACAGTCTCAAGACAGAGACTTTTCCAGTTATACATTTGTAGCCCAGATCACTGCTTTCCAAAGGTTAGTGTATTTATGTATCATCTGGAGATCTCATTAAAAATGCAGGCTCAACACCCAAAAAACAAATAATCAAGTCAAAAAATGGGCAGAAGACATGAACAGACACTTCTCAAAAGAAGACATACAAGTGGCTAACAGACACATCGTCATTAGCCATCAGGGAAACTCAAATCAAAACCACATTGAGATACCATCTTACATCAGTTAGAATAGAAAAAATTGACAAGGGAAGTAACCACAAATGTTGGAGAGGTTGTGGAGAAAGGGGAACCCTCTTACACTGTTGGTGGGAATGCAAGTTGGTTGGTACAGCCCCTTTGGAAAACAGTGTGGAGTTTCCTCAAAAAATTAAAAATAGAACTACCCTATGACCCAGCAATTGCACTCCTGGGTATTTACCCCAAAGACACAGATGTAGTGAAAAGAAGGGCCATATGCGCCCCAATGTTCATAGCAGCAATTTCCGCAATAGCCAAACTGGAAAGAGCCGAGATGCCCTTCAACAGATGAGTGGATAAAGAAGATGTGGTCCATATATACAATGGAATATTACTCAGCCATCAGAAAGGATGAATACCCAACTTTTACATCAACATGGATGGGACTGGAGGAGATTATGCTAAGTGAAATAAGTCAAGCAGAGAAAGTCAATTATCATATGGTTTCACTTATTTGTGGAACATAAGGAACAGCAGGGAGGACATTAGGAGAAGGAAGGGAAAAATGAAGGGGGAGGGAATCGGAGGGGGAGACGAACCATGAGAGACTATGGACTCCGGGAAACAAACTGAGGGTTCTAGAGGGGAGGGGGGTGGGGGGGGTTAGCCCGGTGATGGGTATTAAGGAGGGAACGTACTGCATGGAGCACTGGGTGTTATATGCAAACAATGAATCATGGAACACTACATCAAAAACTAATGATGTAAGGTATAGTGATTAACATAACATAACATAATAATAAAAAAAACTAATGATGTATTGTATGGTGACTAACATAACATAATTAAATAAAATTTAAAAAATGCAGGTTCTGATTCAGCAGGTCTGGGGTCTGGCCAAGATTCTAACAAGCTCCCAGGTGATACAGTAGACCACACTTTGGATAGCAAGCACCTAGATACATACGACCTCTTATTAAATTGGTATTAGTTCCTGAACCATGATAACTGAAAATTTAGATTTTCTTTTTTTTTTTTTTAAAGATTTTATTTATTCATTCATGAGAGACAGAGGGATAGAGAGAGAGAGAAGCAGAGGGAGAAGCAGGCTCCCAAGGAGCAGGGAGCCCGATGCGGGACTCGATCCCAGGACCCTGGGATCATGACCTGAGCCGAAGGCAGACGCTTAACCATCTGAGCCACCCAGGCGCCCGAAAATTTAGATTTTCTAACTTTGAGGTTGCATTAGACTTTGACCTTTTTGTTTATTGGGGTAATCTCATAAAGAGGCTGCGTGATCTGGAGTTCTTTTTTTTCTCTAGTCTCCTTTCTTATCCCGTTCTTTCTTTATATTTGAGACATAACAAACTACTTGAAGTTTCCAGAATGTGTCAAGTTCTTTCACATCTCGCTACCTTTTCAAATACTGTTTCCTCTGCCTGTCCCAACATCTTGTGCTGCTCCCTTTAAAACTCAGCTCAACTAGGGGCATCTGGATGGCATAGTCAGTTAAGTGTCTGACTCTTGGTTTCAGCTCAGGTTGTGATCTCAGGGCTGTGGAATCAAGCCCCGTGGCAGATTCCATGCTCAGCACACAGTCTACTTGAGATTCTCTCTCCCTCTCCCTCTGCCTCTCCCCCGCCCCCATATTCTCTCTCTTTCTCAAATAAATAAATAAATCTTAAAAAAAAAAAAAACCCTCAGCTCCGCTGTGGTCTCCTCCAGGAATCCTTCCCTAATCTCTTTAGGTTGTAATTGTTTAATTAAATGCTTCCAGTATTCTCCCACAATGCCCTGTATTTCCTATGTTATAACTTTCTCATAATTTATTGTAGTGTCTGCTGACTTGTCTGCTTGCTTCAAGACAACATTTCATGGGAGGAAGAGATTATGCATTTTATCTCTGTTACCTACTGCCAATCACAATGCCTGACACGTAGTAGGTTTCCATTAAAGTTTGCAGAATGAATGAGGAAGGGCAGTTGATGTGTTGTGCAATATATATGCAATGCAATATATTATAAATATGTTATGCAATAATATAATGCAGTATTTTCTTCCATGAAGTTTGAGTTGGGAGTAATAACTAAAATCATAAAAAGTTAAGTACAGGATGAGATAATACTGAAGGTATAACATGTTAGTATGTGATTAATTGCCAAATGAGGATCATAGAAAATAACTGTTCTAAGTTCATTGGAGAAAAATGTCACTATAGATTTATTACTGTGTCTTTAATATCCCAGTTGTTCCACAAAAGATTGGAGATAGCTGACAACACTATGTATGGGAGTTAATGAGAGGTATGAACACATACGTAGTTAAGGGGATAGCATTAGAAAAGGAGGGAGTTATGGAAGTACATACCCAGAACTTGAGGAGCAAATATACTCGCATATTTGCAAAAATAGTCCTTATTCAATAATGGGCAGTAAGAATGGTGTGCTGGACTTCCACTTCCCCTCTCTACCTTGGAGGCTGACTTCTGTGGTGGCATCGGTAGCTCCCTTGTCCTCTGGCTTCTGGCTGAATTTGGCCAAAGGAAGCGACGCACCCAGGCCGAGGATCAAATGGAGGGCGAAGAGTGAGGTCAGGGTATTTATTTTCTTGTGTTACTGAGAACTGGCTGTGCCTCTGTGTAAACTGCCCCTTTGTTAAGACCTCCTGAAATTATTCTACCTTGAGTGTGCCCCCTGTTCCCTGTTGACACTCCGATACAATCATGGAGTTGTTTAATGCTGGACTGGATGCCCGGCTTAATAACTTTTATGATAACCACTAATGCTACAAAAATGTTTTAGGTGTTGTATATCAGGTAAGATTCTATGAGGAGGGGGTTCAGTAGGAAGAATTTGGAAAGCAGACCAACCCGAAATCTCATACTTATACTGTTCACATTTTAATGTGGTAAAGAGGATATAAATCATATTGGAGGTAGGGAAGAATTGAGAGGTTTAAATCCCCACAGTTCTATAATATTTTTTTACATCAGCCTTTCATTTACCGTTCAGTTGTAAAGTAACAATGTCTTAGAGATGTAATGTTTGGGTTGTTCCCTTTTTATTTGGGGTAGATTATCCAGAATTTTTGCCTCTCCTCTTTTCTGTTGCTCATTTTCTGGTTATTTCACTGCACACTCTTCTTCCATCAGGAGATAAAAAAAGAAAATAAATGGATGAAAAGCTTAGCTTTAGTATCTATGATAAGAGGTTTGTTAGGAAAAGACTGAAATTCTGAACTAAAATGAAGCTTTTCAGTTTATCTGGGCTGGTCTGCCCCCTATTGCCGTAAAGATACCAAGAGGTATTTCCAGCTTGTCAAAAATCAACAGATAAAATGGACAGAAAGTCTTGTATTCATGATGATGAAGAGAAACAGGTTTAATAAATGGATAAGATGCTCTTAATATAAGGCCTTGGTGTATAGACTCTGTCTTTGAGCCTTGGATTGTATTACAACCTTGTTTGCAATGCATACTTAGATCATTGTTGACTCATATGAGCCTAATTCTGTGACCCAGCAGAAATAGATCATAAATCCCAGCAATGGAAGACATGTTTGTGGTTTGACCTTGGAATGATGAGCTAAAGGTGCTAAGGAAACCATGAATCTACTTTACAATAATAACAAAAATAAGGTTGTTTATACTTTGTCCAGTGGATGAAGTGAAAATCTAATATTTTTCTTGGTACAAGTTATACATTTTACCAAGCTTGATTCAATTCCTGTTTAGTAGGTAGCTAGGAGAGGAACTGAATAAAAACAATATATGAAGCTTTCGACTCCTACTTTGTTCTTCCTTATTTAATTCTTTTTTTAAAAGCTGTTTTAACTCTTCCTTTTTATTCTTTAGGTTCCATTTATGAAATGTTTGGAAATGAATGCTGTTTGTCAACAGGAGAAGTGATTAAAATTACTGGTCTCAAAATTAAGAAGATCATAGCTGAAATTTGTGAGCACACTGAGGGTTGTGAGTCTTTACAACCATTTGAGCTGCCTATGAATTTTCCAGGTACAGTATTTTGTAACCATTTCACATTTATAAAACTATGGTTAATATACATCTATACAATTGGAAACAAGTGGTAGCTTTTTTTTTCACTCTAGGGTGGTGGGTGAAAAAATTAGAATTCTTTTTTATTTTTTTATATGCAGTGTTATGTGAGTTTCCGGTGTACAATATAGTGATTCAGCAGTTCCATACGTTACTCAGTGCTCATCTTGATAAGTCTACTCTTAATCCCCTTCTCCTGTTTTAACCATCTCCCCGCCCCTACCTCCCCTCTGGTAACTATCAGCTTATTCTCTATAGTTAAGAGTCTGTTTTTGGTTTGTCTCTTTTTTCTTTGTTTCATTTGTTTTGTTTTTTAAATTCCACATATGAGTGAAATCATATTTTTGTCTTTCTTTGACTGACTTATTTCACTCAGCATTATACTTTCTAGATCCATCCATGTTGTTGCAAACAGTAAGATTTCATCTTTTTTATGGCTGAATAATATTCCAGTATATATATATATACCACATATGTATACACCACATCTTCTTTATCCATTCATCTATCAGTGGACACTTGGGCTGATTCCATATTTCCATAGTTTGGCTATTGTAAATAATGCTCCGGTAAACAAAAGGGTGCATGTATCTTTTTGAATTAGTATTTTTGTATTCTTTGGATAAACACCCAGTAGTGGAATTACTGGATTATATGGAAGTCCTATATTTAATTTTTTGAGGAAACTCCATAGTGTTTTCCACAGTGACTGCACCAATTTGCATTCCCACCAATAGTGCATGAGGGTTCATTTTTCTCCACATCAGTGCTCTTTAAGGACTAATAGAAGGCAAATTATTTTTCCCCTTTTTAATAAATATCCTTCATTTAGGACTTAATATTTTCTGTTAACAAACACTTAATGAGTTCTAACTGTATGCATTACTTGCTATGCTAGTGAGAATGAAGGAATCAAAAATATTTTACAAAGTTATGTAGGACTAGTATCTCTTAAACATATTTACTCTCTTTATTCCTATTGTAAGTAGAATCTTGCTCCCTGGATCATTGCTAAACTTCCCAGTAGGATCCTACTGACACATCTGGTTGCTCTTCTTTTTCTAGTTAATTCAACTCACCCTTCCAAAATTAGCTCAAATATCATATCTTCTGGAATACTTTTGCTGATGCCCTAACCTACTCTGGGTATCTCTCTTTTATGTTTCCATATATCTTGTTCACCAATAGCATTGGGTAGTCATTAATGATTTTCTTATTTGTCTTATGCTCCAGACCAGGTGTTGGCAAATGTTTTTTATAAAGAACAAGATAGTAAATATTTTAGACTTTGCCACCAGATGATCTCTGTCACAACCATTCCAATCTGAGGCTGTAACATGAAGGAAGCTATAGATGATCCCTAAACTAATGGACATGGCTGTGGTTCAATAAGAATGTATTTACAAAAATAGGTGGCCGGCAGAATTAGGCCTGTGAACTGTAGTTTGCTGACCCCTCCTCTAGACTAAAACTTTTTGACAAATAAAGTATGACATATATGACTTTACGTCTAGTACCGCAAGCACTTTTTCAGTGGTCATTTACTGAATGGTTGAATGAGTGAAATGAGTGAATAAATGATATAGTGGAAGAGAAAAATCTAGTAAACACTTACAATATGATGTGATTTGTGGTGTGATTGAAATCTCCGTGGGTTCCAAAAAAAAAAAAAAAAAAGGAGAAGGAGGAAAGAAGAAAAGAAGGAGAAGGAGAAGAAGAAATATGCGTGGGTTCCGTGAGAGTCTTGACAAGGAATATCTAACTCTAGTTGGTCATGTTTCAGAGCATGGATTTTGGAGTCTTTACGTATATTTGAATTCCAGCTCTGCCACTTCTTAGTTGTATAACCTTGCCAATTTACTTACTCTCCTCTCATGTAAAATGGGAATAATGATACTCTCTATCTTCTAGTGTTTTGGGAAGGAGTGAATGTGGAAATATATTTGAAGTGTTCACAATGGTACTTGTCATATAGTAAGGATGATAAAAAGTGTCAGGCTTTATACCATTATTATCAAGTGGAGTCAAGTTTTTCAAAGCTTTTGAAAGAATGTTATACTTCAGCTCAGATTTGGAGAATGAAAATAAGTTAGCTATATGAGGAGAGGATTCTTCCAAGTTTTCTGGTATCTTCTTCCTTTCAACTTGAATCTTACCTATTTTTCAATTCTATTTACTCCTTCCTTACCCCCATCCTCTATAGCAATGGTTCTCAAACTTGGCTGCACACTGGAAATCACCTAGGGAGGTTTAAAATATCCTGATGCTCGGGCCAATTGCCTGAGATATTTTGATTTATTTAGTCTGGAATGAAGTCTGGTTACCAAAGTATCTTAAAGTGACCAGGGTGATACTAATGAGCAGTCAAGGTTGCAAAGCATTGTTTTATGAGAAGCTTTCCCTGAGTATTCTAATTGAATGTAACAATTCCCTTTTTGAACAACTATATAGTCTTTCATGCCCTAATCATTGCATTTATCACATTTTGAATGTAATTGAGGTTATCTGTGTGCTTGTCTTATGAGGACCAACTGCTTAACAGATTACAACATTGCTGACAACAGAATCTGAATCTCATTTACTGTTACAATCCCCACAGTGTTTAGGAGAAGATGTATATAATAAATATTTATTAAGTTAAAATGACTAGAATCTTCTAGTAGAAGGAGTGTTTCTTATGAGAGTAATGAAAACACTTAGCTTTTTTTGGAATTTGTATTATATTATATTATAGTATAGTATAGTATAGTATAGTATAGTATAGTATAGTATAGTATATTTACTATAGGGAATTAGCTCACATGATTATGGAGACTGGCAAATCCAAAATTTGCAAAGCCAATTTTCCACTTAGCTTTTGACTAGCAGTTTAATTTGGGGAGTTGCTATTAAGAATTTTTTGAGTTTTCAGTTGACATGATCAGCTTGCATCAATTGAGCAACGATTAGAAAAATTTATTTACAAAATTAGTTTTAATGTAAGATCAGGGCTAAAGTGGAGGGGAAAAGTGATTGGTGATGATTACAGAATACTTTCTTTCAAAGAGGATCCCAGATATAGAAGTAATTCTACCTCAGTACTGGGGAGAAAGAGAAATTAAGGCCATTAACATTTTTTTTTAATAATTTCAACAGAAATATCTCTTTTTTTAAACTCTATTTAAAACTGTCAATTTAAACTCCTGGTTAGAAATTAAATTCAAAAAGTACTTTAATATATATTTTAAACATCCTTTCTTATTTGGGAATTTCTGAAATTTTCTTTTGTTACTGATTTCTGATTGCATTTTGTTGAGGTCAGAAGACATACTTTATATGGTTTCAATTCTCTTACATTTTTTCAGACTTGTTTTACGGCTTAACGCATGGCCTATCCTGGAGAATATTCCATGTGTACTTGAGAAGAATGAGTGTTCTGCTGTCGTTTGGTGTAGTGTTCTACACATGTCTGTTGGTTCATAGTATTGTTCAAGTCTTCCAGTTCCCTGAGAATCTTCTGTCCAGATCTATCCATTATTGAAAGTTCCAACTATTATTGAAGTTTCCAACTATTACTGTCAACTTTTGCTTCATGTAGTCTGGGGTTATGATGTCAAGTGTATATGTGCTTATAACTGTTATCTCTTCTTGATGAAGTGCCCCATTCTTTGTCTCTAGTAAAATTTTTGTTTTGAGGTTTATTTTTTGTCTGATCTTAGTATGGTTACTACAGTTTTCTTTTGGTTACTATTTGCATGATCTATCTTTTTTTAATTTAAATCCAATTAGCCAGCATATAATACGTCATTAGTTTTTGATGTAGTGTTCAATGATTCATTAGTTGCATATAACACCCAGTGCTCATCGCATCACGTGTCCTCCTTAATGCCCATCACCCAGCTGCCCCATTCCCCTACCCACCTCCCTTTCCACAACCCTCAGTTTGTTTCCCAGAGTCAGGAATCTCTCATGGTTTGTCTCCCTCTCTGATTTCTTCCCATTCAGTTTCCCCCACCTTCCCCTATGATCCTCTCCACTATTCCTTATATCCCACATATAAGTGAATCAATATGATAATTGTCTTTCTCTGATTGGCTTATTTCACTTACATAATACCCTCCAGTTCCATCCATGTTGATGTAAATGGTAGGTATTCATCCTTTCTGATGGCTGAGTAATATTCCATTATATATCTGAACCACAATTTCTTTATCCATTCGTCTTTGAAGGGCATCTCAGTTTCTTCCACAATTTGGCTATAGCTGCTATGAACACTGGGGTGTAGGTACCCCTTCTTTTCACTACATCTGTATGTTTGGGGTAAATACTCATTAGTGCAATTGCTGGGTCATAAGGTAGTTCTATGTTTAACTTCTTGAGGAACCTCCACACTCTTTTCCAGAGTGGCTGTACCAGCCTGCATTCCCACCAGCAGTATAAGAGGGTTTCCCTTTCTCTGCATCCTTTCCCCTTTTCTCTGCATCTTTGACATTTGTTGTTTCCTGACTTGTTAATTTTAGCCATTCTAAATGGTGTGAGGTGGTATCTTCATTGTGCTTTTGATTTGTATTTTCTTGATGGCAAGTGATATGGAGCATTTTTTCATATGTCTGTTGGCCATTTGTATGTCTTCTTTGGAGAAATGTCTGTTCATGTCTTCTGCCCATTTTGTGAATGGATTATTTGTGCTTTTTTGGGTATTGAGTTTGATAAGTTCTTTATAGATCTTGGATACCAGGCCTTTATCTGTTATGTCATTTGCAAATATCTTCTCATATTCTGTAGGTTGCCTTTTAGTTTTGTTGACTGTTTCCTTTGCTGTGCAGAAGCTTTTTATCTTGATGAAGTCCCAATAGTTCGTTTTTGCTTTTGTTTCCCTTGCCTTTAGGGATGTGTCTTGCAAGAAGTTTCTGTGGCCTAGGTTGAAGAGGTTACTGCCTACTCCTCTAGGATTTTGATAGATTCCTGTCTCACATTTA